ATTCCTCTTCTAAGCCACCTGTGGGTCTCTTACCTGCAGTGAGGATTTCCATTACCTTTTTTTTTTTTTGAAGTAATTTTATATGGATGAATCACAGTGATGATATGCAATTTCTCAGTGCTCAACTGCAGACAGTATTCATGAAAAGTCTCCTGTGCACATAGAAAATGTAGACCTGGAAGGGGTGAAGTTACTTATGGGATATGAAACACTAGTATGGTAAGTACTCAAAAATAACTTTTTAAAAAATTTTTCATCAGCGAAATAAGCATAAGCTTAATAATACCCTAGTTATACGAAAAAAAAAAAAGGAAAATGGATCGTTATTCTGAAAAAAGATGTTCAAAGGAGACTAAATTCTGAACAATAATAAATAAAATTTATTATATATATTTTTATTAAATAATTAATTAAAAAAAAATCTGGAATAAAAGGCCAGAATTTCAGAATGCAATATGACTCTGTTGTAGACATCTATTGCTTGATTAAGAATCAGCCCTTGGAGTCTTTTTGAAAAGCACACGCCAAGCAAAGAGCTTGGCCTAAAATCTGTTGCAGTTGCTACAAGCTGTTGCTGAAAATCTCCTTAACAATGACGGGAGAATGCAAAACGCACAGGTAGCCATACCCTATCAAGGGACATATCTCACTTTGGTGACTGGAAAGTAAACTGTGTGCTACCTTCCTCATGGTATTGCAAATGTGCAGTGTGAAGCAGCTGAAACTTGGGAAAAGATTTCAGGAAACTGAATGTACTGCTCTGTGTTAACTTGAAAATTTTGCTGGAACTGATGCACAACTTTGTGTCACTAATATTTTTTTCCCCATTTTACTTGAAGTTAGTGGTTGACTCATTTATTTGACATTCTATAATGCCAGAAGCATGGACTGAATGCACTGATTCTTTCTCTGAGTATATGTACCATGATGTTAGTCATCATGACTCAGTGTGTGTTTTGACCCATTTGAGACGTGTGTTTCTTTCTAAAACATATCTGAGGATTAAACCTTGGGGAAAACATAATTTAATGCTTTTGGATAAGTTTTTCAGGAAATAATTTAAAAACCAAAATCAGTCTAACAAATAAAAAAGCCTGAAGCTATGGCTGAAAATGGTGGGCGGTTTCCTAGATGTTACTCTTTTCCGTCTGGTGATGAGTTGACAGCTCCTGCAGGTATGTTTGTTGTGTAAGCTGGACTGGAGTGCAAGAATGCTCTTCTTGCAAGTCTGTGCTGCCACGTTTCAGTTTTTTTGGCTATTCAAATCTATGTTGATCCCTCACTTCTTTTTCCTCTATTAATTGAGTCAGTTTCCTCTATTAATTTGGGCCATACTAATTCTGCTTAGTATCTGACATTGTCAAGAAGGCACTTACTGATTCTTACACTGAAACTACTGAATTTGCTCTGTGAATTGCTATAAATGTGTGTTGTTGCCTGTAGTTCACAGAGCATATCCTATGGAAACTGGCTGATGCCTTGTAATTGTGTTCAGGGATCACAAAAATGCTGAGAAACTCATATTAGGTGGCCTCTGAGAGATTTATTTACAATCCTGTCTGGATATCTCTAGCACTATGTGATTCTGCCATGGACAGGTTTTGATTTAATGGCATACAGGAGGATAAAATTAAATCGAGAATATCACTTAACTTGGATTAATTTTGAAAGCATCTAATTCTGCAGTTCCTTGCTATGGTAGTTACCACAATAAAAGTTTGGTATCAGATGTGATGTGTATCCATTTCCCAGAATGATTATCTCACAAAATCACGCAGAATTGCAGAGGTTGGAAGAGACCTCAGGAGTTGAGTCCAGACTTCTGCTAAAGCAGGTACCCTACAAGATGTCACACAGGTGGGTCACCAGCTGGGTCCTGAATATCTCCATAGAAGGAGACTCTGTAACCCCTCTGGGCAACCTGTGCCAGTACTCTTTCATTTTCACCGTAAAGTTCTGCATGTTAGTGTGTTCCTGTGTTCAAGATTTAGGCCATTACTCATTGTCTTATCCCTGTGCAGAACTGAGAGGAGCCTGGCCTCATCCTTCCTGACTTCCCTTAGATATTTATAAACATTTATCAGATCCCCCTGTCTTCCTCTCCCCAGGCTGAATGGACCCAGGTTACTTCAGCATTTCTTCTTGTGAGAGATACTGCCAGGACCTTGCTCCCCTTTGTAGCCCTATGCTGGACTCCTTCTAGGAAATCCCCATGTTTTTCGAACTGACAGCCCAGAATTGAACACAAAGTTGTTGGTAAGTTTGTTAGAAGAACAAGTCCAGAAATTCAGTGCTGCCTGCTTATTATATAGCTGCTTAATTATTTTTAGATAGCTCTTTTCTACCATTTTTACTATAATTCAGTATTTTTAACTTGATATAGAATATAGGCTCTGTGAATTCATACAAAAATATTAAAATTCAACATACTCAAATGTATGTAGAAAATGAACGTCTACTCTGCACTGTTTTTGGAAAACTCCAAGGCAACCACCACCTCCCAGTGTCTGACCTGTCAAACTCTCAGACATGCTCTGCAGGTGCACAGACATTTCTGAAGGGAGCTTTCACTCCAGCATAAGCCTTTCTTAACAGCATGAGAAGACATAAGACAAAATTACTGATTAATTAGCTCTAAGCCCTTCTGTATAATATATGCCTTAGGGTTTCAGTAACATTTCCAGACTAAGTGCAGTTTCTGTAATGAAGCAATTCATTTACATAGAGCCCATTGTGCTATTGCTGGTGAGTACCGAGGTCAGCTTGATGCAAAACTGACATCTTCACACATTTGTGATGCCAGGATTAATTATAATTGTTATTTATTAGGCTATGATTTACAATTAGCCCCCAAATTATTTCAAAATAATGTATTTCCAAATCACGTTTGAATGCTGTGACTTTGTATTTCCACTATAGTAACTTTACTGTTGTTGCAGGTATCAGTTTATCAGTTTAATATTCTCTTGACAAAAATATCATAAAATACCAGTCTTTTTACAGTTCACTGATCAGACCTGAAAACTCAAAATGTCAAATGATTAAACTATTTGCACTTACAATAGTTCAGGGTTTGCAGTGCACACGATGAATGCTCTAGAAAATATCCAGCCTGCTTTGCAGAGGTGAAACCTCAGGCACAAATCTGTATGGATATGAGTGGGAAGCTGCTGGCTACAGGGTCATCAGGGCCATGACTACTTCTACTTGAGCAGAGGAGCCAAGCAGATCCTTGCCCCACACTGGTGTCTTTTTGACTTGGCTGTAGAACTGTATGAGTTTACTTCTGTGTTTAGATGCCTAAAGAGGCTGATCTGCAGCAAAGTTGAAAGAGTGCAGTGAGCGCAGCCTGAGGCTGAAGCAGTTATAGCCTGGCTGCCTATGACAGTGCTGATATGCATGTCATGCTTTGAGTAGTCCCCTGAGAACACTCTCCTGCTGAATGATGTCTGCCTGAAAGGCCTCTGCCCTCTCCTGTAAATTATGCATTACAAATCTACCACCACATTTTCAGCTCTCAGGTTTCCTTCATGGTCTTGAAAATGTCCTTTTCTATCACTTTCCCTTTCAGAATTGGGGATCTTCTAATGAAAATTTGGATGGATCAGAGTTGCTATCACCTCAGAGCAAGAAAAGGTCTGTGCTCAGTAACTGTTATGATTCATACGGCCCTTACTCTTTTTCTTCTTTAGCAGTAGCAGAGATTTTTTCTGCACACTTTTCCTAAAGTTTTACTGAGGCCTGCAACTGAAATAGCAATGTAAAATGACTGAGTTTTGGTTGCTGAAATTAACCAAATAAATTGGTTCAAATTTCTATGTTGATGGTTTTATCCAGGTCAGTTTCTTATTGAAATTATTATTTGATACTCTAAGTTACTGCAAAGTATGCATGATCAGATTTATGGAGAAAAGCAATTTTATTTTATTTATTTATTTTTTTTTTTGCCATAGTGTACCATCAGAGAGATAATGCAGTCATTTATTAACAATATATGTTAATGAAAAAAAAGTCACAGGTCAAAGAATGATTCATCCTCTTTGATGTCTTTACTCTGTAACTTGCATTTTATCTCATCATTTTACCATAGGGTAGTAAAGTAGTGGAACTCATGCACTGAAACACAAATGGAACAGAATCAAAGCTGTTACAATCTGCAAAATATTTTCTGCTATAATCAAATTCTTGCCTGTGAAATTTTGCAGTCACTATAAGGAATGCCTGCTGATTTACCACACAGCATTCTCTCAGGAAAGGTGTGTCAGTTTTCTTTCCCACAAGGTTTAATCACAAAAGCCTGCAGCTTGAGAATTTACGTGAGGACTTCACAAGCCTTGCAGATAACAGTTGCCAGCAAAAGCATTTGGTCTAAGGTGATGTCACAGCCACCTAACCGTATTTTTTACCATAAATTAGTGAAGTACCAGCAAAAAAAAAAAAAAAAAAAAAAAAAAGTTTACTTCAAGAGGCAACTGTAATAATATAGTGTTCTCCCTGGTTTCTTGGGCCTGGTCCCAGGGCACATCATATATAGATTAATTATTGTTACATAGTGCATTTATTACTGGTGTAGACCAGTTATCAATAGTTCTCAAAAGAAAGAATTAAAAACAGGGATTAGTAATATCCTGGAATTTTTGGTGCGCTGTTGTATCAGCTATCCCTGCAAAAAGGACACAGTGCACTGAGTTTTTCAAAATCTACAAAAGAATACACTATTGGATTGCCGCTCATAACAGAAATTATTGAAATGTTTAATGATTATTATGTGTTTCTAATGCATTTTTCAGTTTTCAAGTGACAGCCTAGTGATATACTTCTAAATACTTCTGGAAAGAGAATACTTCTGTAGCAGAAATGCTAAGTCATGGCCTGAAACAGTGATTGAGCACCTGGTAAGAAGACAGGGCTAATCCAGGGGAGCTCAGGTGCATACAATTTACCTGAGCGACTAGAAGATATGGAGCCATGATTAACCCTTTCCCAAATCTCATTTAAAGATTTGCAATGGAGGAGAGGGTATCTTGGTGGAGATCTCTGTGTACCTGAAGCTTCCTGAAGGTAAGTAGTTTCTTTTCTTTGTTTCTGTGCCTATGGCTGTTGCATTTCAGCAAATTCTTGCTTTAAGTAGCCTCTGATTTTGCTCCTCTGCTCTTTTTTGCTGCACTTTCTATTGTGTTGTGGCTTCTAAAAAGCTACCGTAGTATGGGAAAGTGATTAAAATATCTTTAGGAAGAAGCTATCGGGTTAAAAGAGGCCTGTTCAGATGCTAATATACCAATGACACTTGCCCTTACTTGCGAACTAGGCAAAGGCTGAAGTTTGACCATGATCTTATGTCATTAGGTGAGGTAAAAATAGTGAGGTAAGAAGAGATTGAAGCTGAGAGCTTTTTTGGTGATTCACATCTGATTTTATTGTGTAGCAGAATTCAATGTAGTTTTGGTTTCGTATCAACAATGTGTTTTGGAGCAAGTTCTAAATTTTCCTTTCATTTATTGCGTTTTAACTCGCATCATGGGATGGTTTCAAAGTCTGCAAAGGATTTTTTTTCTTGGTGAAGCTGAGTAATGGACATTTCAGTAATGGATATTCAGCTGTAGCCCAAATCCAACCCTAAGTAATCCCCCTCAACCCAGAAATGTCTGAAGAATGAATAGGCTCTTAAAAGTTTGTTTTGCTGCTATCTTACATTTATCTCAAAAGCTATCCTTGCTGAGCTGTAAGACTTGCTACTGATAATACCTCTTTGCCTTGTTGATTACCAAGTTTTTTTTTTGTTTTTTTTTTTTTTTTCTTAACCCTACCAGCATTTAAAAACTTTCAGACAATTTGAATGTGATTTTTACTTTTTTTTCCTAGTTATCTTTGTTTTGGATAGTGTGCCAGGAGCAACTGATATGGGAACACTAGATACAAAACTAGATTGGTTGGTTTTAAAGTTAAATCAATTAAGTTGATATGTCTATTTATCAATTACTGTAAAATAAATGATTGAGATAATTTTTCTTTGCCTTCTTGTTAATTCAATGTGGGCACTTATTTGGGTAGGGATGACCTCCAAAGATCCTCACAGAAGGCTCCAGGCAATGAAGAGCCCAAATTATGTTTCCTTCTACCCATTGTACTTATCAGCATTTGTACTCCATGACAGCCCTTGTTCTTGTGTGGGGTGCTCATTTCAACAATTGCATTTTTCAAATTTGACTGCTGAGCACTGTACTGGAGAATTAAACCAGGTGGTAATTTTATACTCTTTATGTGATTTATTGGAATAAGCAAGACCTAGAAAGAAAAGATCTGCGTAGGCATTTGGTATGGAAGGTGTAGTGGTTGTGTGACAATGAAACATTTCAGAGCTTATTGAAGGTTCTAGAAAAAGAGCTGTGAAAAATTAAGCTAATTATTTATACGCGGAAGAGTTAATACCTGCATAAAATTTTTTGTTTTGAATAAATAGGAAAAAGTTACTTCTTTAGAAACTCTGTTCAGAGCATGGCACTGCTTTTTTTTCTTCTATTCTTATTTAAGGCTTCTCCGTTGTTTAAGTCAGTAATTCTTTTTTCCACATTGTTCTCCTGAGATCTGTCCCACTGTTTTAATGATAACTATGAAGCAGACATGGTAAATTTTTTTTGCTGCCTTTTAAACTTTTCCGAGAACTATGGATTTGAGTATTCAAATCAACCCTGAAGTTCTTAGTGTTGTTTTTTTTTTTTTTTTTTTTTTTTTGACTGAATGAGGAAAAAAGTAGAGGCTTTTCTGGCAAGTAATACTGAAACAGTTCTAAAAGTTCTGCTAATAAGGCTCAAGAGAGTCAGGGAATGAGGAAGTTCAGATGAAAACAGGCATATGAGACACTGACACCTCAGTCTATGTGGGGGAAGCTTCTCAGCTGCTCAGCCCACATCACAGAGCTTGGCATTCAGCAGAGCTACTTATGTGACATTTAAAACCAGATTCCCTAGAAAAATGGCAACAGTAGTAAGTGAAGGTGGCACTTCCCTAATAAAGAAATGAATACTTGGTTTTAGTGAGCTAGGGATTACTTCATATCTTTGGGAAAGGCAGAAAGAAAAAAAACTGGATGAATTTTTTTTCATTTCTCAAGCTAAGTTTTCGAATACTTGATTTGAAATGGACGTTACATTTTGAAATTCATTTAGTTTTTAAGGTTAAAACAAAAACAAAGGCTTTGCTTATATAGCTAACTTAAAAATATTCACTTCTAGGTTGTACAAAAATTATATTCTCAGTGCTTTTCAGTGCACCACAACTTGTCCTTGACTGAATTTCAGAATGTTATCTTTCATAGTGTGTAAAGATACCTTTCTATAAATAAGAAAACAACAAAGTAACAAAAATAACATTGCCCAGGAAAGAAAATGTGTAATGTGGTTTGTGATCAAATACCTCTATTGTGCACTAGGTCTTCTGCAGTTTGACAGATAGGGAGATAACATTGATGGGAACTGAGTGCTGTTCTGCATGCCAAGAAGTGTCTTGCTAGTAAATACAGATCTATTTAGAGACTAAACCATTATTTTCTTTTTCTTCGTGTCATGGGATAAGGAAAGCTTGGATGGTTCTCTGCTGGCTCCCGTCAGAGACACAGATCTTTTAAATTTATATTTCTGGGAACAGCATTAGACCACATTCTGCAATCTCTTTAATAGCCACTAGAATGTTGCTGTGCTGTTGTGCATCTTGTTTCCGTTTTATAATCCATGAAGTCTGCTTTTACCAGAGAAACCAGAAATAGTTAAACTGTCTGTTTCATACAAATATCATAAAATACTGGGTGTATGACAGAATAGCTAGGTAATGATCAAAATCAGGCTTACTGTATTTGGCACTTGATGGGGTTTTTTTGAAAATTTTTACTTGGGGAAAATCCCTCCTTCATTTAAACTTGTATCATATTTATAGATATGTCATCAGTGGCTCTCCCCTGGTAAAATTAATTTTATCTAGACCAGAGACTGCGATTTGAAAAAAATCTTAGTGTGTTTGGTTTAGTAAATTCATCACTTAACATTTTCACATGTCAATCTACTCATGAGTATTGATAAATTTTCATTCAGTATAAATAAATTAGATTGTGAAATAGTTAATACCATGATAATGGTAATGTCTATTTAATCTGGCTTGTATACATATTCTGCTAGTTAATCGCCAGTCAGCTTGAAATGAAATGTTTTAGTGTGATATGAGTTTTATTTTCTTTCTGTTGATTGAGAGACAGAAAGATATGGTGTGGTAGTGTTGAGACACTGCCCTGCTACAAGAATTAATTATGGTTTATAACTAAAACTTGTATTTTCACCCTAAAATGCAGACCTCGGATCAGTATATTATCACATTTTACTCCTCATGGCATTAAATTGTCTTGCAAGTATGTCCTGTAAGTTTTTGAAATTAATTCTAGTGGCTTTGGCTGGGCGTATTTAATCCTTGTCATGGAAACCCTTTGCACAATGTTTTTCTCATTGCAATTTTTAAGGTATGCTCATTTGGTGACGAAGGCTGCCAGAACAGTGGAGACATTCAAGTTAGCTGCTAGAGACTTTTGACTATAAGTGTCTTTTGTGAATTTTATTTTACTCTTTAAAAATACTAATTTTTCAGACACAGTTGAATTATGATCACTTTGTAGATTTAGCAATTATTTAATTGCCGGTGTTTTCAGCATCTGTATAGGCAGAATACTTATCTATAAGACAGGCCTTGGGAATCTTGTTGGGTAAACATAACAAAGGATTTTATTGCAGTGATTCTAGATATAATAAGAAAATGAATCATAAAGTGTTAGAAGGATGTCAAAAGCTGTATGCAATAAATCCTCTCATCCAGCATTATTTATACATTTATAGTATATGGATTAAGAAATTAGTGTTATGGAACTAATTAAAACATAATTCACACATCTGATTTAGCTTGTTTGTTATCTAAAGATGCTTCTGTAGATCTTAGTGAGCCTGTCCAGTGAATACTTATCTTTCTGTTTACAGTGTTGGAGACATTGCTTTTTCCCACGTATTTCACAAAACTCCATTGTCTATAGCCTTCATTTGTTCTAAAATGTTTGTCATGGTTCTATGTTGTTGTTTTTGTTTTTGTTTTTTTTTGTTTTTGGATTTCAGTATTCCACATCAAAACATCATGTAGTGTACGGGGCATTAAAGTGTCACTGCCCCAATCCCAGGTACCTATCCCTGTACATTACAGCAGTCACGGGATCTGGCCCTTCCGGGTGGGGGGGCGCTCTCTTGCTGCCTTGCAGTGGGTGCTGGAGGGTGCTTTCCTAGCCGTTCCAAGCTTTCCAGGTTTGAATCGGTCCCGGGAACTCTCTCTCTCTTATCTTGTCTGATTTATTAATCTCAATTTCAACTAAATTGTATATATATTGTGTTATTTTGTATTCCGATATTATAGTAAAATAAGTTTTCCTCCATAGATTGTTGCCGCTGCTTTTTTCCTCCCTTCCTTCCTTCCCATTTTTGTGGGACTGGGGTGGGGGGGAGGGCAGAGGCCCTGTCGCCCCTGCCACGGACATAGATTGATCTGGTCTGGTCAACTCCGTGACAATGTTCACTGTTTCTAAGCTATTTCTCTTAAAAAGTCTATGTACAATGACATCAGCAGTGTAGTTATGAATGGGTGTTTCTATCATATACACCAGGATCTCTGACTGATGATTTATTATTTAATTAAGAATCAGTATGCACAAGGCCTGAAAACATACGTAGGGTTAGAAATCAAATGAAGTAGCTGTGAATTCTACAACACTCAATACTTTCAATCTCTGTGAAACTCGAAAAGCCCTTAATAAAATCAGAGCTGGTAATTTAGTTTATTGCATCCAAATGTGGAGCCCTCAGAACAGCAAGGGCTCCATATATAGAGTCTATCCAAAGCAAGGCCACAAAAATGACTTAAGTGATGGAACACTTCCCCTTTGAGGACAGATTGAGAAAGCTGGGGCTGTTCAGCCTGGAGATGAGAAGGCTTCAGGTACACCTGATTGCAGTCTCTCAGTATCTAAAGGGAGCTTTAAGAAA